GGTCACCGAGAAGATCCCGCCCACTATGGGGTCGGCGGTAGGATCCTCTCAACCTGTTGGCAGCAACATTGCTAGTTCTTCAGGCAGTGCTCCGGGAAACACGTCGGGTCAGTAGGGATAGTAGTTGTTCCTACTAGGGTCGCGATGGTAGACTCACCCTCACCTTCGCGAGAGATGGCCCAAGCTACAGACTCTCCAGTCGTCCCGCAAACACATTTAGACCCATCGACCCTCTGTTCGATGAATGTGTTTGAATCCTTAGAGGAGCTAGAGCATGAGTGGTCTAGATCAGATCCACTAGCTTCTTGGACGGCGTTAGTTAAAGCCCCTAAGAGTGAAATGTTTGTCAGCGAGGTAGTTATAGGAGGCTGCAAGGCCGGGGCCTATTACGACACTTGCTCGACTAGGAACTTTATTAGCCACGCGTGCGTTGAGAGGCTGCGCTTACAGGGGCAAGTGCAGCGCCTGAGTCGACTTGTGCCAACAAACAGCGCATGGTAGTTAATGACTACCTCCATGATGTAGAGTGTGTTTTCCCGTACGCGAGAGGGGATTTGAGACATCGTGTCTCGTTCCTGGTVAGTGACGAGCTCCCAATGGACATGTTACTAGGTATGTACTACCTCTCTGTAGCACAGCCTCAGTTTGACTGGGACCGAAAAGTGGTCAAACACACGTTGCCAGGTGGAGGGACCGCCAGATTTCATAAGTTCAAAGCTAGTAGTCTGATTGAGTCCTATGGGTGCATGTGTGCGGCCGCATTCTATAATTATTATAAGCAAAATCAAGAGGAGGGTATGTACTTAGTCTATGTCTCTGCTGCAGGCGAGCCGGTGAAACTGCCGCTAGAGATAGAGGGAGTAGTTGCTAAGTACCCTGATCTATTTGAAGAGCCGACTGGGGTTGTTGAGAGGAAGGTCGTCCACGCGATAGAGATTATCCCACGGTCTAGTATTCCGAAGGGTAGGATCTATCGGATGTCTCCAGGCGAGCTTGATGAGCTTCGTCGCCAACTCAAGGAACTCATAGAGAAGGGTTGGATCCGGCCGAGTGTCTCTTCTTATGGATCTCCAGTACTCTTCGTACCTAAGAAGAAGGAGGGCACTCTCAGGATGTGCATTGACTATAGGGGCCTCAATGCCATCACTGTGAAGAATAGAGAGCCCCTACCGCGCATCGATGATCTGTTAGATAGAGTGTARGGGTGTCGGTACTTCAGTAAAATAGATCTGAAGTCCGGGTACCATCAGATTGCAATCCGGCCCGAGGATCAACACAAAACCGCATTTCAGACCAGGTACAGTCTATATGAAATTGTAGTGATACCTTTTGGTCTTTGCAATGCTCCTGGCACCTTTCAGCACGCTATGAATC